TGCTAATCCAGATAAACGTCCAACTGCTGATGAAATTTATAAGATTATTGAATTTTGGTATAGTTCATTTGAATATTCCAAAGCTAAAATTTGGTATAGTTCATATAGATATTCAAAGAAAGAGCATGATAAATTAAAAACAATTAGGAAAATTTTTGATGAAATGGATGAAATAAAATTTGATCCTTCAACAATTACTACAGTAATTCATCCAAATGCTGTTTATACTAGCAGACTATTAAAATTTACAAGCCTTCCCCAACCTGTGAATTCCAATAAAGTAACAATTATTGGCAATAATAATGGTAATTATTAACATTAATCATTGATTATTTTCATTTTTATTAACATTCACTCTTGTTTGTAAATTTTTTTTTTTAGATTCTCAACAGATTGAATTATATCAGATGAATTAATTACCTGAATAAATTAATTTTGTCATTTTATTATGTATTAAAATTAAAATTAAAATTATTTTTTTTTACTATAGTTGTGATATTAAAAATACCTTGAGAATTGAAGTATTCATACACCTATTTTTAATCATCATGCAAAAACTCGCATAATAACTACAGCCAGACCTCCATACCTGCACCCTCCATAAATGCACACCCTCCATACTCTGCACTTCACGGTATTTTATATGAAAACTCTCTCCATAAATGCAACCCACGTGACTAATGTATAAAATTCATCGTGTTACTAGGATAAATTTAGAAATCATCAACATAAATTTTTGATTTAATTGGATAATTTCTAAAATACAAGTCACTCCCGTTATAATGATTATAATGACAATCTTGTTATAATGACATTTTTTAAAATTTATAAATACAAATTCTAAATAAATTAATAACCCTATAAATAACTATAAATCAGTCCCTTATAATTAAAAGCAAACACAACCTTCAAGTGGTTGTAAGCGACTTTGTAGGGATCACTTTGGCATAATTGTTGCTGCTGAATTTGCTTTTAGCCTGCATACTAGTTGAGCGATAATCTTAAAATAAGTGTGAAGAAAAGAAACACTTCTGACCTGGCGTAGAATAACCAATATCTAAGCTGACCTTTCTTTAATTGTTGTTAAAAGGTTATAAAATTTTTATTATGGTTGAAAATCGCGAAAAACGGAGATTTTTTTTTAATGACACTTGATTAAATCCTTGTGGATCACGAATTAATAATATTTAATAAAATGTCTTCCGGTAGTATTAAATAAATATTACAATGTTAGAATTTCTTTATAGTAAATTCAAAAGCAAAAATCCTTAAGTAGCAAGAGTTTAGACCAAAGTCAAACTATCATTTAATCCTAACATTGTAATAAATAAATAATAGTAATTAGTTGAATACAAATATTAAATTTTTTTAAATTTTTTTAATGTTTAGGATTAAAAGATTATCTTAATTTTGCAGTTTCACTTGCTCGAGAAAGTGGCAAAATTATTTTGGAAGCTTCGAAAGCACGTTACTCAACACAAAGTAAAGTTTACTCTAAAGCAGGAAATTCGGCAGATTTGGTAACAGAAACAGATAGACAAGTTGAAGACTTCATAAAGTCAAGGATTAATAAAACTTTTCCTGAACACAAGTCAATCAATCAATTGTTGTAAAAATGGTTTTTATTTATCTTTAATTATTAAAATTATCTTTAATTAAAAGATTCATTGCTGAAGAAATGACTTCAACAAACAATAAATACGAATTCACGAGCAAACCAACTTGGATCATTGATCCTATAGGTAGGCAGTATTTTATAACTTTAATATTGAATTAAAAATTGTATTATTTAATACTTTAATGTCATCTATTTAAAAGAGTATTAATTACATTGGTGAATTTTCTTTATTTTAATTTTTTAGATGGAACCACAAACTTTGTTCATGGGTAAATGCTCCAACACTATAAATATAAATGTGAATTAATAATTTAAAAAAATTTTTTTTTATTAGATTCCCATTTGTTGCAGTATCAATTGGTTTAACAATCAACAAAGAACCTGTTGTTGGCGTTGTGTTTAACCCATTTCTTAATGAAGTGAATAAAAATTTTTTTGCTTATAATTTTAATTTTAGATGCACAAATATTAATTTATGTCTATGCTTATTTTTTAGCTTTACACTGCAAGTAAAGGTTAAGGAGCTTATCTTAATCTCAACACAAAATTACCTTTAACTTATTCATATCTACCATTACCATTACCCTCAAGTTTGTCTCAATGTTTAGTGGCTACCGAATATGGGAATGATTGATTACCAATAACTATTAGTAAAAAAATTCAATCTGTATATAATTTATTGTCAAAACCAGGTGATGCTGCTACTTTGAATTCTAAAAAAGGTGGATTGGTTCGAAGTATTAGAAGTCTTGAGTGTGCATCACTTAATATTTGCACAGTTGCTAAAGGACATTTTGATGTTTATTGGGAAATTGGATGTTGGGAATGGTAATATTTACATTTATATGACATAATAAATTAAATAGACTGTTATAATATTATTATTTAAATTTTAATTATTATTTAAAGGGATGTGCAGCTAGTATTGTGATTCTTCAAGAAGCTGGTGGTATTATGGTGAATGGACAAGGTCCAGATGAAGGTCCAGATAATATACTTGGGCATAAATTTTTAGCAATTAGAGGTGGTTTACCTTGTTCGAGTGATGAAAATTCAAGACAAAGTCAAATACATCTTGTTAGAGAAATGTGGGGTTTAGTTGAAGAAATTGATTGTCCAAGATATTGACCAAAAAGTAAATAATTTTTTAATGTTCATTATTTTTAAAGATGTATTTATTAAAATTATTGTTATAACAAGCAATCAATAATATAAAATCATTTATTTGAATTATATAATGTCGCCATATTCATTCCTTTTGATATTTTTATTTCTGGTTTTATTAAATTCTTCAGTTGTTCTTGGAAAATAATGTTGATTTTTTTTCACATTATCATTACTATCATAATCATAATTGTTATTGTTATTATCATCTTTGTATGTATATGATTTTTGAAAACTTGAAAATAAGTTATCATTATTAAGATTTTCCGTTGTATTATTATTTATATTCTGTTTATGTTTTGCTTTCTGTTGTTCTAATTTAACCTTTTCACGAATTCTATCCCATGAAGATAGTGGTTTTGAATTCGTGGACTCAGTTTTATTCCAATCATTATTTTCTTGATGATTATGATCTTTTGATGATGATGATGATGACGAATGATCTAAATAGGCGAAATAAATTAGGACATTAAAAAAATAAATGCATGTTGCTAGTTTAAACATACCAATTTCAGCATAACTTCCTGATAAAGTGGTATTTAAAATGTCAGGTTGATTATATTTATCATCGTTACCATCATTAGTAGCTTGATCTGTCTTTTCCTTTTCTAATTTGATCTTGCTATGTCGTGGTAATTTCATCTTTAACATTTCTTGGCTACAAATTTTTAAGAATTAAAATTACTTTTGGTGAAAAAAAAAAATGAAGAAATTATAGATAAACTGAACTGTAAATCTCTTATTATCGTATAAACATTCTGTTTATTTGGTAATGTTTGTATAGTTCTATAACCTACAACCATTCCATTGGCACTTCCAATAGTAGACCCAATCAGCGTAGTTACTGTTTAATTCAATTCAATTATCATTTTATTAAAGACATAGACCTAATAACTTTGTTTGCCCCACTAGAGAAGGGAGATAGAAAATAAAAATTGTCTCATGATATTTACCAAAACATGTTAATATCGTTGCACCAGGCCTAAATTTTTTTATGCGAGCTTTTTTTTAATTTAAATATGATTAGAAGAAAAAATTTTAAACGATTTAAATGATTTTGTTTACTTATAAAATATATATATACCAGCTATACCACCAGCAACAAAACCAACAAATGACCCAATTTTTACTAAATTACAAAAGTTAAAACAACAGATTTCTTCAAGAAAAAAAAAAGGTAAATATATAAAACGTACACACAATGTTTATTATATAATTTACTAGCCTCCAACAAAGTATCGTATTCTTGTTTTGATAACTTGTATACTTTTGTTGCATTTGGAAGTTCGTCACCAAATGGATTATGATAAATTGCCATATCTTTTTTTAACTTTTAAATTTTTTTATGAAATTTTATAATTTTACACATTATGACATCATAATGATGATGCGTATTGTGGACCTCAATGGTTACGCACACAAACGATAAATTTGGTATCATATTTGAAAATTTATTAATAATCCCTGAACAAATAAATAAAATATTAATATTAATGTTCTGTGAGAAAGATATTCGTTGTGTGAAAAACAACAATCAAGTCTTTTTATACAAAGAAAATAAAATTGATTATTAACAAAAGGAAAAAGAAATTTAAATTGGTGCAACTTTATTCTAACAACAATTAATAGTGATAATTTGTGAAACAAATCAAAGTTATATAACTCGAAAGATTTTTTATTTTTAATGAGAAAGAATTAATTCAATTGAAGACAAAAAAGGGAGGAAATTTTGAATATTTTTTAAAGAAACTTTTAAAGAAATTTTTTGTGTTTAACAAAAAGAAAAAAAGGAATAATTAAAGTTATTTATGTCTAGAGACGCGTTAATGTTTATCAATAGGAGAAAAAATTTTGTTAGAATGAAATAAATTCCGTATGATAAATTGATTTAGTATGTGATAAAATTTTTATTATATTGAAATTTATTTAAATATAATAAATAAATAATTTTATTTCATTAATACAAATACGCACAAAGAAATTTTTTTTGGGGGAGTTAATTAGGTTTAATGAATGTTTTATTTTTTTCAATAATAACAAAAGAAAAAGACGCTACGCGTTCAATGATTTGGAATTCCTCAAGATTATTTAAAGTTTCTAATATATTATTAGTTATATGTACAATTATAAAACACGTAAAAATTAAAGAAACCAAATATTATTTTAAATAAATGCCATTTAGATGTTGAATCAAAGTTAATAAGACTAGTTGGTAATTTGAATTATTTTTTTTATTTTTTTTTTTATTAAAAAATAAATTTTTCTCACAAATTATCCCATTAAAAGAAAATGAAAAATAAATGTAGTGAATTAAATAAATTAAATATAAATTCAAAACACAATAAATTTTACAAGAGAACTTCTGTTATCTCCCTATTTTATTATAATTGGAAAATAAAGACAATAGAAATATATTATTATTTAAAAATTTAAAAATTTAAAAATTTTGAAGGGATTATGCATGAAATTCAAAAATAGATTTTTTTTATTAGGGACGTAATAAAATCATATGGAATGACTGCAATTAACAGATTTCATGGATGCCATGAGACCTCAATAAAAATCTTTTTTGCAGAATCGAAGATCCAAAGATGAAATTTTTAAGGATGTTCATTGAGGCTGAAAATTATGCAACAAAAAAAATATATATTATCCCCTGCGGATGCCATTGTTCTTATTTTGTAATGATCGAATGGTGATACAAACTTTTGATAATGCCTCGTTATTTCTTAGGGTAATCAATGCAATTTTTTTTTATGATGATAAATAAAGTTGTAGTTCTCACTTCATAATGACCTCGTTTTTGGGAGCATTCATTCACTTTACTGCAACCGCTACACACACTAGAATTTTTAAATCCTCGATAAGATCGGAAGATATAAATATCAAAATAATTTTGATGCTTATTAATAGTGAGTTTTTTGCACGTGAAACTAATACTTTTAAATTTACTTTTATTTTCATAAAAACAGTGTTAATTACTGGTACTGCAAAAAATAAACAATGTGTAATTGCCATTGAAAAAGATACCAAAGAACCAATAAAACAAAAGATCTTTTTTTTATCAATTTAGGAAGGGAAAGCTCGTGTAAATTTATCTTTCGCTAACTTGTTAAGTAATTAGGCGAAAATTCCAATACACAATCAATCCATTCATCCGAGCAAAGAAATCGTCATTTTGTTTTTTCTATATATATATATGATCTGTTAATGTAAATTATTTCTAGATATGGTAAAGGTAGTCTTAATTTAAACTATGGAATTCATATTTTAATATGAACAATCGCATATTATCATAACTATCAGATTGTTCCATGTATGTTCTTAGATCCACTCTTTTTGATTTACACATGAGAATGTTGTTTACCTTTTCCATATGTTTCTCACATTATAATGGTGATTATTGAAATTAAAATATTGTTAATTAATTCATTATCTCTAAAAGATGAGATGTGATAAAAGTGTGGGGAAAATATGTAAAATATTTGGTACTAAAGAAACAAAAGGGGGTGAAGATAATGAAAGGAATAATAAATAATAAAAGTGATTTTTTCGATTTATATAATATATCCTTTCAAATCGTGATATTAATATTGTTCTAAATTTGTGTAAATAAAAAAATATAGATGATAATCACGCAACATTGTATATTGTTACTATTACGTCAAGTGATTATTGCATTTTATAGTATAAATTAAGGCAAATGTGGCTTAATATACAAATCCGAAGTGGCGGTTATTTTCGTTCTGTGGCGTGTTTATCAACCACAAGTTTAAAAAAATACTGGATCAAAAAGTTTGGGTTATTATTTATTTACTTGTTATCTAATTATATAAAAAAATATTTCCAAATAAAGAAAACAAGGAATCATTTTTATTTTTTTTGTATTAGTGGCGCATGATAATCGTGATACATATATAAAAATATGCGTGATATAATAACTTTAAAGTTTTATTGATACTAAATTAGGTGTAAATTGGAAAGACTTTCGAAAATTCGTGTTTTATTTTATAATAAATCTTTTTCCATAAAAACCATTCAATTATTAAACCATCTATTTAATTCATTCATTCATTCATTCATCCATTTGTTGATTCATTCAAACCTCCTTCCATTCTAAAGAATTAAGGAAACAAAACGGCCCTTTTCAAATCTTTGTAATAGAATTGATTTATTTGTACATACGCGTATGATAACTTATAGTGGTGTAAAAAAAGATAACAAAAAAAATCATTTTACTCGTACATTTATTTATTAGTGGCGTGTGTCCGGTAGGAATATATTCTTTCATTAAAAGAGTTTTTACTCAAAAAAGAAACAAAGAAATATAAATACCAATCATATTCACAAACTATTTAAATTATATCTTTTTTTTTATGATCAATTTAATTGATACGATGTTTTGTTAATCAAAAATTACAAAAGGAACAAAGCAAAAAAAATAACTTGTCGTTTATTTAACTAAGGACCATTTTTATTTTTCCTACAACTTAAAAAAAAATTTATTAGGATAAATTATTTTTAAACTTTAAATCATATCACATACACTAACAATCTCAATAATAAAAAAATAAATAATAGCGAAAAACTTGAAAAACAAGATTTTACAAATATAGAAAAATTGTATACATGTGTAACTTTACAACTTGTTAAAAGAAAAATTTTTCGGCACAATATATAAAATTGATTGAATTCAAATTTGGAATAAATCTTGAAATTTTCGGGCATTAATTATGTTGGTTTAATTATTGATCTAGTTGTTAATTGATTAAAACAAGTTGATTGGTTTTGTTTAAAATAGAAAAACTTGTATAGAAAGTGTATGATAATAAGATTAAAGAAAATCTTTTTTCCTTTAAAATAATTGATGAAATTCATTTTGGAAAATTATTATTATATACTCTATAT